TTGTACGGATTTTTCTACTATTTTCTCGAGAGCGCGCGAGCTTCTATTACGTGCACTTGATTTTTTATTTTTCTCTCTCTCTTCTTTTTCTTCCTTTTTTTTTGCAACGCCGAACTATTTGCTCGACACGACTCGCTCGATGTTTTCTTCCCTCGTTCTCCCTCTTGTCCAAGTGAAAGTACCATTAACCCGAGTCAATTTTTTTGTTGACCCAATCTGACGCATCCTCGTGGAAAAGTAAACGATAAAAGTTTCTCTGATGAAAAGAAGCAAAAAAAAGGGCCGGAGAGAAAGAAAAAAAAATCCTATTGGCAAGTGTGCCGTGCCGCGCCGCGCATGTTTCTGTGTCCGTGCGTGTGTGTGAGAAATACACAAAAGCTGAGTAAGATATTTTGCAAGCCGAGTCGTACTACTGCCTATTGTCGCGTGTACGTACGTATACAGAGACACTCGACATCGCGCAGAGATGACGAGAGGAAAATACGCTCAATGTCTCTTTTTAACGGATAAACGCGAATAAGGTTTCTTCTTTCGGTTTTTCGATGTAGCTCTCTCGGTGCGTTTGGCCTTCTTCGTCCGTGCTTGCACACACGTATCGTATACGTACGCCCACTCGTATATACGAATCGTCTGCAATCATATATTTTCCATTTTCCCTTTATATCCCTATAAATTTCGTAATAAAATATTCGAATTCGAGGATCGCTGTGCCGAATAATAAAGTATTTTGGAAATGCCCATAAAAACGATCCGTATACACGATTGTCTGGCTACGTCTCCGAGAGAACTTTTTACTCGGCCGCGCAGCTCGAGGCTCGCACAGCGCACAGACACAGTCAAAGCAAAATCTCGATGTTAACCCAGATAGACGCGCCTATCTACGTAAGGGTATAGACAAAAGTTAGCAGCAAATTGAAAAGCCGTTTTCTAATTCACTAGCGCGCGCCCATCACAAGAGGGGAGAAACTTTTTTACTCGATGCTCGTCTCTCGTTTCTATACTACGTCTGTGTTCAGGGAAAACCGTTCCGAGCACGGGCAATATCTTCTTTTATTTTACCCCACGGTATATATCCGACAGAGAGAGTGTATTATACGTGGAGCCAGCGCGGCTACTTCATTACCGAGAATTGGTTGTGTGCTCGCGCTGCAGCTCGAACACACACACATACGGGAAAAAATCGCGTTGCGTATTTTAATGCAAGTGGAATACGTGGAAAAGAAGCAAATTACTCTTTACAATCGTTTTTCAGGTCACACGCAGAAGTAGCAGCAGCAGCAGCAGTGGCACTGGCAGTCGTAGTGTATTTAACTAACGAAGTTGTTTAGCGCCAGAGAGAGAGAGAGAAAAACTTGCAAACACTTCCCATTGCGAAGCTTATCGAAAAATGATTTTCTTAGCTTCTCCTTTTTTTCTTCTTCTCGTTATTTAAGTTTATTTTTTCTCATCGTGGCTACGGCAACATTATAGCAGAGAGCTAATTTATGGGTTTCACGCAGTCGAAACTTTCTCGTGCGCCTACGTGTATAATGCTTAATGACTTTTCTCCTCGTGGACGGACGTCGTGTGTATATTTATATATATTGTAACTACGGTGCATAAATACACACGCACGTGGTTTTTTTATTTTTCTCTCTTTTTTTCTTTGCAACTTCTGTTCCATGCAACATGCTATATGTAAGGGTATATACGTTTGCGCATGTAAATGTGCACATACAAGCTATACCCGAGACGCAGTTCAGTGCAAAAAGTGCTCGGAAAGTAACGAAAAGAAATTAACCGCTTATACCATTGCGGATTATTTTTGCACGGGTAGTGCGCGAGCACGAGGGAACGTCAATCTCGAAGTTAAACTAATTAATGTTATTAATGTTTTTTTTCTCTGCGCGCTTTCGCTTCGCTAAAATTATAAAGTTGCTCGAAGCTCGCGGCGGCGGCCTCTCAAGCGCGCATTACAATATGTAACTCGAGTGCACGCCGCGACCAGAATCCGTGGATATAAATGTTATTTATTTTCTTTCTCGTTAAGCTTTATAACTGAACAAATAAATTGATCCGATGAATAGAATAATCTATACGTCGCCTGCGAGAAAATATCGACACTTGCTTACTTTTCTCTCTCTCTCTTTTTATTTTTATGTCACGACAATCGCGAACGATGGCAATGAGTTTGCATCTCCATTACTACCAAATGAATCGAGCAAAGCAGACTTTGCACGTCTATTATGTATCGAGACATCCAAGACGGAATCTTTTTTCCTCCCCAACTCGCTTCGTTACTACCAGGCTAATCCTCTTACAGCTCCACTATCTTATGCAATTTCTCTGGGGGGACAGCACGGATAGAAAATGAAAATAGTGAGTGAAAAAAACTCCTTCGGACCACACACATGAGAGAAAGATGAGACGAGGAGCAGTATAAAAAAAAAGACATCGTCCCCGTGCGAAGAACGAGCGCGAGTAAAAACGAAAGCAGCTCGACTAGCTACTAGCAGACGTAGCAGCAGTAGCAGCGCAGCGCAGCAGCTAAAGCTCGGTTATACAGTACTATACAGTGCATAGAGCTCGAGCCAGCGGCAGCAGCAGTATAAGCTCGAGAGTCAGAAGCTCAGCGTGCGAGGCGAGCGAGGCAAGCAGCCGAGCCGGCACGCGCAATGCGGGTATTGATTCACGGCACGGGGGCGAGCACCCCTCCCAGCGCGCACCAACACATAGTACATAGAGCAGCAACACACACGAGCGTCTATGTGTATGTACGTGTATCGTACACGTTCGCCGCTCGCAGCTCTCGAGCCAGCGCGAGCCATGCTGAATATACGTGTTGTGTCCGTATATGTCAATACATGCATACACGTATGGAGCGCAGCGTACACTATGCCTGGTTCACGACTCCCGCGACTCGCTCGAGCGTGTTTTCGCTCACAATTAGTCATATGTGTATGCGAATAGGCTTACGACGACGGTGACGACGACTTTCGTCGTTACCGTCATACATTACTACTATTCGCGAAATTGTATAGAGTCGCAGTTCTCTCGCCATAATATAACGTGTCTCGTCGTCGATATATTTCGTCATCGAACGATCGAGGCATACCCCTTATCCAATGTGCTTGAGTTTATTTATTAGTAGCGATGCACTAAATTACCACGGAGCCGTTAACCGAGATCGTGCGCACGACTATCAACCCTAAAAAATGCGCAGATACAGCTCGTTATTGTAAGCGGACGTTAAAATTCTACTCGGACGCCGCAATGCCCCCTCGCACACACAAAGACACGCGGTCGCGCGCCCGCTCGAATTAGTGGTCAAACAATCGAAGAGTAATCGATATTTCGCGTATATAAACAAGCCATGCAGCAGCAGCAGCAACACACCCCTTCTCCGCTCCGAGCAGCGCAGCAGCGTGCATGTAGGTGCCTATATATAAAATAAAGCGATGCGCTCAGAGAGGAGCGGCTTTTTCTACCTATATGTGGTATTCGGGTTCGTGTATTCGCCAGTAGCCCCCGCAGTGATACGAAGCCGCGTACGGTCGGACGCTAATCCACTGTGAGCTGCAATCGCTGCGCTATCTGACGGCTGAGTGGTGCGGCTTTACAATCCCGTTGCGCCGATCCAACGTGCGATGATCGAGAATTGACCCTTTGTGGGAGGTGGGTGCGTCGTGAGTGTAGGCAACTGTTTTACTTGCCACCGATGCTCGAGCTTGCGACACTGAGACGATCGTCACGTCGGTACGGTTGAGCTTGCGCGAAAGCTCGCCTGCTTCGAGTTACCTACCGACGACGCGGAGATCGTTGCGAAATCTACCTATTCGGCATTTTTTTCGAAAACTTTGCCGAGATTACAAATTTGATAACGTAGTATACTTGTTTGACTTGGAATTACCATTGAAATCGAAATTGCGCATCGCCGACTCGCGGCTGATGTCGTTTTCAACGAGTTCCAAGTAATAATACGGGGCACAAAGTAAACAATAAACTAGTTTGGAAAACTGGATTTGTTACCGCGTGCATCGCGTCTTCCATTTGATAATCGTGTACCATACCACATTCGCGAATCCATATTATATATAAATCCGTTCCCTCGAGAGAGCTGGGAAAATATAGTAGAAGTAACTCGATGCCCATGGAAATGGAAAACGTCCAAATCGGATCTGCGCGAGCACGAACGCTACGACAGCGACGAAAAATAATATTTCAGTGGCTGCGAGTATCTCAACTCTAGCGTGATCTTCGACACATTGTCCGATATTCCTCGGTAAAATGTCCAATGCATGTGTTTCATAAATAAACATTGGACAACCGTTAAAGCTCTGTCGATTGGTTGCTGTTGCATCGTGAGATGAATTCGACGATTTACGTCGAGGGCGATATTTTCTGCTTTTTCTTCGTATTACATATCGCGCTTGCAAATTTGTGTATACATGATCGTAAGAAGATTTACAAACGTAAAGATCGTGAAAATTATATACTTAAATTATATACTTAAATTTTGTTACTAGCAGATTTACTTGTGAAGAGGTACTCGCCATCTACCGGTGGACACTTAAAGTTTTATTATAGTGTAAAAGTGCTCGAAATTCGTCTAAATTTTTTGAAACTATCAAATTTGAAATGATCAAAGTTGCTCAATATTTCTAGCTTAACTGTAAAATAATTGTAATAAAAAAAGCCAAAAACAAACCAATTTACGATAGTGTATTTTAAAATGGTCACTTTTTTAGTCATTAGGTTATTATTCACGATTTCTACCAGGGAGTAGAAATGAATATTTTCTGCTTTCTCTGTGTATTACATCGTTTGTGCTGAACTTGTGTGCACAAGCACGAATATGACAAAAAAAAATGTGTCGCGTACTCGCTGATACGCGTTCAAATATACAAATTGAAGTGCTAATGGATAAAAAGTACGATCTCTGCGTACGGAACACGATTGTATCATGTGCATGTTATACATATAATAATAATAAAAATAATAATAATAATTGGCGGACTCACATGATGTCACCGAGCTTGAGCCTGGTCTGCACGACGGCGCAGCTCTTGTGATCGCTGGTGGTGACGGCGGTCCTGCGTCTGGCGTAGCGCGGCGCGTCCGAGGCCGGCAGGGCCGCCGAGTCGCCGTTGCCGTTCGGATGATTGTTCGGCCCGCCAGCCATGATGCCGCTACGCACCATCGGGCTGCTGCCGCGGCGTCGCGTCGACACGTGACGGCCACCCACGCTTCCCAGCATCCTGCACAACAGATACACAAATACAAATTATTATCATCATGTGCGTGCACGCTGACAGTCGCGAATTTTGGCTTAAATTGGCTTAACGCTCAAAATTTGCATTTCAATTACACGTTAATCGTTTGGATATACGTTGGAAGGGGTCGACGTAAATTCACACGCGACTGTCTTTTTCATTTTTACGCCAAGTGTACGTACGTACGCAGTCGAGTGCAATGAAAAGAAAAGAAAAGAAGCTGTTGAAGGGAGTTACAAACTTCCAAAAAAAAACCGTAAAAATTTTATGTGTGATCTCATGCGGGCTCAGATAAATAAACCACCCGCAAGGAAAGCTCACATGGAAAATTCCCAAAGTCAGCTCATTATATTTCTTCCTATCTTCGCTCGTTCTCTCTCTCGCTTTATCTTGCTATTTTACTTGGCAGACCCGGATGCACTCGTATTATATCTTTCTCTTACATGTGTTGCTTCTGTTATATACACAGATACTTATTCGGGACACTCGATATTTTGCATATCGATTGAAGCAAAAGTCTTTCGCGTATATATTTCCATGTTCTTAAGTACTCGGATGAGTTTTATTTTTCAACTCTCGGAAAAGGGATATATAATGCATTAGCTGCTTTTCTACGACGGATCAAGCTCGATAATACTGTCTGAATGGAGGAAATACTTTTGTGCACGCTGGAGTAAAAAATTGTTTCATCGAGGTGAAAAGCTCGTATCTCCGTGATTTATTATCCCAAAGCACAGACGACAAGTTGGAAAGATAGTTTCGCGAGAAATCTTGGAGTTTTTAGAGTACAAATTATTGCTGCCAGCACATATGAGTATATACGTATAGTTATTATTGACATTAACTTAAATTAATCGAGCTACATAGCTGTAATTACAGTTTGTTATTAAATTGTTAATTAAACAAGAACGACCCATCTATTTTGGTATTAAAGTGATAAATATTTTCTATCGATTTCCCCCTTATATTTATTTAAAATTAAAAGCCAGCTCGCGCTTAATAAACGTATTGGCAAAGTTTTATTCGACTGATCCACGCAAATTGGAAATCGAGCACGCGGCTCGATAAAAACAATCAAAATTGAAAGAAATAATATTTGTTGAATGGAAATTCGATTAATTTCGTTTCACCGATATACCAGCAAGAATGAAAATAAAAATTTAAAAAAAAATCGAGCCCTTCTCGAAAACAATGGAAAGGTACAAAACTGTAATTTGAAATAAAAAGCTTAGGCACACACGCGTGCGCACGTGGAAAGAAAAGGAAAGGTAATAACGAATCGATGCGATAAATTTTATGGAGTGCAATAAAATATAAGCAGTGCTGCTGTGTGTATAATAATAATATATGCATACGTACAAACATACAATGGAAGCGGTGACATTATGCCATTGTAGTCACGCAATATCTTAAACTCGCCCCTCTTTTTCTGTGCGCCTCTCGCACGAATACACATAACGTAATACGTACATATAGTATATCCAAGCGAGGCCCTCACTCGTGCCTCATGCGCTTATTAAGCGCGGCGGAGAAAAGCTCACGTATATATATATTCCTACACCATGTGCGTGTACACGTACGCGACTTTCATTAATGCGATATGAATGCACGCAGAGAGAAATCTAAGCTCGTATAATTAAACGTTTGACTGCTGCAAGCGACTGACTTTGATGGAAAAGCCGTACATTATGCGCAGAGATTTTTACCGCGCGACGATGTACAAACGCCTCTCGAGAGATTTATCAGCGTATCGTTGCCACTTGGCACGTGCTTGCCACTAGCTCGCGAGAGAGAAGGAGTGTATATTATATATGTACACGCATACACTCGATTTGACTTTGTAATTGCGTGTGCGCAGTTGCATTCGAAGAGCAGCTCTGCTCCAGCTATACACACACATGTATACATTTGTTAGTTAAAGCGCGGTAATACTAACTAGCTGGAGAATTTTATGTACGATTATGTGTAATTATTTATTTCTACCTGGAAAAATATCTGAACTCGCGTTATGTCGGTACGATATAGAAATGTTCATATTTTCTTTAACGTTAAAGCAGCGGCAGCAGCAGGTACTTTAATTGAGCAATAAATTTGCTGAGCGAGCCGTTGATTCGAAGGATGATCCGCGTGCCTTGTGTGGCCGCCGCCGTTGCAGCTCTCCTCGCTCGGCCATTCTCTAATTAGAGCCTTTGAGATATACTAGTGAGACTCGAATATTCCAACTGCACACGACTTCATGGACTTATATTATAGGCGCCGTAGCTCTGCCTTCTTTCTTCTTCTCTCTTATCCTCGTTTTCGTTAAAGAGAGAGAGAAGTATTTAACCGCCTTTTAAAATTTTCAACTCACCCTCTCACGCTCTCTTTTGGGCTTTATGTTTCATGGGGGCGTCTATTATTTATGCCTAAAGGCTCCTCTCTCTCTCTCTCTCTCTCTCTCGAGGCCATCGCCATAAAGTAGCGCGGCGTACGTCTTGAAGCAGTCCTAAAATTCATTATTTATGCCATTCCGCGCGCCGGCGTTGCACTGCTTATACTGGACTCCAACGTCCGGGTATATACGTTATTATACTCGTTGGGCCGCTGAAGGGGGGCAGAAAAAAAATCGAAAACGATCTTGAGTCATCGTAAATTAAAAGCCCCGTTGCCGTCGAGCGTATATATATAGGACGTTGCGCGCTCGGCTGCGGAGCTATTTTTTTGCTCGAATCAATATTAAAAGCGATAAAGGCGTACGAGAGATGCGTACAGTAAAGTATATATACGCGTTTAGACGGTGAATTTTGTACCCAAGCCCAACGGTCAGCACCGATCGTCGAGTAAATCTTGCCTTTTCCCGCATCTTCGCGTTCGATCTAATAAATACGCGAGGGAGGAAGAATCAATCTTAATATGTTTCAGGGAAGAGAGGGAGCTTAGACTGCATAAATTGGAGAGCAATTAGCGTCTCTAATTCACGATGGATATTTACCTTAAACACGGTCGGAGCGTGCCTGCAGTGCTGCGCGTACTACTACATGCACACGCGCTCGCTCACTCGCTCGCCGGGGAGAGAGAAATTTCGGAGCGCAAATTCACCAAGTAATGAATTTTCTTTAGACGCAACTGTCAGGCTCGGGCTTTATACATCGTGCATCGGGGGAGTGTTAATTTACTTAACGAGTTATAAATTATGTTACTCCGTATCAATTCCGCGCGCGCCTGTATGTAAACCAAAATGTACATAATTACGGGAGCTTTTCGCAGAACGAGGAAGAGAGAAGAACGAGAAAAAAAAGTCCTATTGATCATATAAACGTTGGTGTGTATAAAAGCGCGCGGGGGCGGGTTTTCGACCTGAGCGCGCGATGCTTAATTATAAATATATACGTGCGCGTGCATGTTTTATACCTGTGCCTTATATTATATACATACACATACGTATACACACGCGAAAGCTCGTTAAAGTGTAAACTTGGGAAGCACCGACGATAATGTTTCCGAATGCAATTTGTGCGCCACAAAGGCCGCAAGTTTGTGCCCGCGCATATGCGCCGCTCTCGACTCTTCACCTGCTATTTGCGGCATTAATTGCGTCGGAATTTTTTTTTCAATTTTTAAACATTTTTTTCTTTTCAACAGAAATTTTCAAAGTGTGCGAGTGTAACGCGCGGATAATAAACGCGCGCGTGGGATCGCATTACCGAACGCGCGCCGTCGTGCCTTGGGGCGGGGGAGGATCCTTGAGACCTGCTAAAAATCTTATCTCGTGTACTTTGACACTCAACCACAACGTCGCCGTCGCCGAGACGGCGTGTGACGATAATTATCGAGCTGTTATAACGGCTGAGGAGGGTGGCAGCATATCGTTTTCCAAAAGAATAAAGCTCTATTATTCCGCGTTAAGGACGACGATCTCGGGCGAGCAGAAAAAAGATAAGGGGGATCGCGTTCTCGAGCAGCACGAACGAACGACCGAACGTACAAAAAAAACGAGGAAGAAAAATTAAGGGAGAAATAAATCGATGACGGCGCCGGGGGAGAAGAGAGAGAGAGAGAGGGTGGAAATTTCGAACGATCTTGGCTTATAATGGAACGGTTTTCCGTGTATATAAAAGATAATTTTTTCCTTCATTTTTCCCCCAATGCCCGTAATATCAAACGATTTTTGATTAATGAAATGAACCAAACGTTTTTGCTCTTTTATATTTGAGCGTTTAACGTCAAAAGATTATGAATATGCTGGAATTCCATTAATACATGTTCGGATAATTTAGCGTTTATATGTATATACCGTTTTGCGAGATATTATAAGCGCGGCTGCAGCAGTGCTCGCGCGGAGTCTAATGTGGCACGCACGGAAGTATTAACAACCCTGGAAACCTAATGAAATAGCCCAAGTATATGTATGTAGCTCGTGAGCCATTCAACTGCATAGCGAGCGAGTTTAGTATTGCGAGCCAACTCGGAATCGTCAATCGCAGCGCGGCGACATGGCACTGCGGCAATCACCGCGAAGACATGAATCGATAATTAAATTTCTCCCATCGGCCATCGATGATAATTTTCCAGTAACTCTCCGCCGACGTATAATCGAATCCTACATAATTACCGCGCCAGCAGCGATCCGCCGTGCAATTTTTTCAACAAATCGAGAAGAAAAAGGCGGCATCGCTCGAGCAAAAAATTTATTACGTATCTGCGATGAATACTGCGTTTAAAAATACATACGCAAGAGTACAAAGTTTCGTTAATTGGCCATCGTTCGTGCGATAAATAATTCAATCGCGACGCGCCAATAAGCGATCGCAAGCACTGTTATTCCACGATCGATCACAAGTATATATCATTACGCTCTCATCGCTCGAGTTCTGTTTTTCCAATACACAAACTATTATAACATCGAGCTATCAAAATTCTCACTATTATACCTCCCTCTCTCGGCTGTCTCTCTACATGGCCCCTTAACTTTCTTCCCGTTCTCGCTTCTAATACTGCTACTACT